GCATGCTTCCTCCAGTCAAAAATTCCAGGGAAAGAAAAGGTTTTCAGGTATAGTCTTATATTTGTTTGGGCTGATACAGCATTGTGCTCCAACAGGAACCCACTCTGGAAAACATATGGAGGTTCTTCAGAAAGTTAAAAATAGAGCTACCCTAAGATTCAGCAATTGCACTACTAGGTATTTACCCAAAGAATATAAAAATACCAATCCAAAGGGATACGTGCACCCTGATGTTTATTTTAGCATTATCTACAATAGCCAAATTATGGAAACCACCCAGATGTCCATGGACAGATGAATGGATAAAGAAGATGTGGTATCTAGACACAATGTAATATTACTCAGCCATTAAAAAGAATGAAATCTCGGGGCACCTGGGTGGCTCAGTCATTAAGTGTCTGCCTTCGGTTCAGGTCATGATCCCAGGGTCCTGGGATGGAGCCCCGCATCGGGCTCCCTGCTCCGCGGGAAGCCTGCTTCTCCCTCTCTCACTCCCCCTGCTTGTGTTCCCTCTCTTGCTGTGTCTCTGTCAAATAAATAAAATCTTTAAAAAAAAAAAATGAAATCTTGTCATTTGCAATGACATGGATGGAGCTAGAGAATATTATGCTCAGTGAATTAAGCCAGTCAGAGAAAGACAAATACCATATGATTTCACTCATATGTGCAACTTAAGAAACAAAACAAATGAGCAAGGGACAAAAAAAGAGAGGCAATCCAAGAACCAGACTCTTAACCATAGAGAACAAACTGATGATTGGGGATTAAGAAGTGCACTTGTGATGAGCACCAGGCATTGTATGGAAGTACTGAATCACTATATTGTACACTTGAAATTAATAACTAATATTACACTGTATGTTAACTGGAATTTATTATTTTTTTGAAGTTTAGATTTAGTTTTATCTAGGTCAATCAAAGTGTCATGTTTAGTAAAGATGTTTATTGGCTTCCGTTATGGTTTTTTTATTATTTAAATTTTAGGTAGTTAACATACAGTGCATTATTGGTTTCTGGAGTAGAATTCAGTGATTCAGGAGGATGGGGGGCAAGGGTCAGAGGGAGAAGGAGAGAGAGAATCTTAAGCAGGCTCCACACTCAGCGCAGAGCCCGACATGGGGCTCGGTCTCATGACCCTGAGATCATGACCTGAGAAGAAATCAAGAGTTGGACACTCAACCGACTGAGACACCCAGACACTCCTAACTAACTGGAATTTAAATAAAAATTTAAACAAACAACCAAACAAAAGAAAACCTTTGCCTGAGTTAGCATTTTCCAATCATTTCTTGGAATACCAACAGATATTTTTGAAAAGCGAGAAGGTAGAAGCCAAACACTAGGGATACCTGTGTGGCTCATTTGGTTAAGCATCGGCCTTCAGCTCAGGTCATCATCCAAGGGTCCTGGGATCAAGCCCCACGTCAGGCTCCCTGCTCAGCGGGGAGTCTGCTTCTCCCTCTCCCTCTGCTTCTCTCTTGCTCTCTCTGTCCAATAAATAAAATCTTTAAAAACTAAAAATAATAAAATCTTTAAAAACAAAAAAATAACTAAAATAACAAATTTCTGTTCTTCATCACTTGGACAAAGTGCAGCCCCAAGGTCCATGTGCTGGTCCCCTCTACCAAGTCACAAAGTTCTGGATGTCTTGGTGGCCCTGCGCCACGCTGCCTGGGCTCTGGCTCAGATGTTGCTTCCTGGTCACAATCATTAAGCCACTCCACGTGCCTTTCAACACACCATTTACCTCATTTGCAAAGTATCTTCCATTTCAGACTAGAGACTAGAAAGGGCCCCAAAGATGCAGATGTGGGGTGCCTGGGTGGCTCATCAGTTAAGCATCTGACTCTTGGTTTCAGTTCAGGTCATGATCTCAGGGCTGTGAGATTGAGCCCTGCACAGGCCTCCGCACTCAGCAGGAAGTCTGCTTCTCTCTCTCTCCCTCTGCCCCTCCCCTGGCTCACGTGCTCTCTCTCTCTAAAGTAAATAAAATCTTAACAAAAAAAAAAAAGATACAGAATATACCTAGCAGACATCTGGCCACATCCACAGCACTTTTGCTGGCCAGAGGCCTCTACTAGGCAAATTTGGTGGTGCAACCCCGGTAGACCATGATGAATTTGAATTGTCCGTCAGCCTGAGACTGCATGTCAATAAGGTCCACCTGGCACCAGCTCCTCGTCTCCACAAACATCAGTCTTCAACAACATACCTTTCTCCACAGGATGCAACTTAACACTGGCAGGGTTTGCATAGCTTCAAGCACAGGAGTATGGCTTCCTGCGCCACATTCTTGTTCTCTCTTCAGCTCTGCCAGTATCCTAGGCCTCCCTCCGTGCCCAATGCTAACATGGGCTCATGCAGCACATCCTAAATGTGATTTTTTGTTTTAAGATTTATTTATCTGACAGAGAGAGACACAGCGAGAGAGGGAACACAAGCAGGGGGAGCGGAAAGGGAGAAGCAGGCTTCCCGCAGAGGAGGGAGCCCGATGCGGGGCTCGATCCCAGGACCCTGGGATCACGACCTGAGCCGAAGGCAGATGCTCAACGACTGAGCCACCCAGGCGCCCCTACATGTGATCATTTTTGACATAGTAGCAAAAGCTCGAGTTGCCTCCTGACAGGGGGACAATCAGCATTTCCCCATTCCCAAGGCAAATGACAAATCACTTCAGTTGGCAGAGAAAGAGGGTAGATTCCTCTTTTCTGGTTTGGTAAGTTTCACTTGTTCAACTATCTCACTGTACTTATCACTCGAAATACATGGAATTGTCTTCTCTCTTTTTAGACAGTAAAAGGTTAAAACAGTGATAAAACTGTTGTTTGGCATCACACCCAAGATCCTCCCTGGATGCAGCTGGGAACTGTGACAAAGGTGAAGAGCTGTACTGGCTGGAAACTAGTGCAGGTACAGTTTTCACCCAGGTCTCCCTGCCAGGGCAGCTGGGCACTCACTGACCAGCGGGCTTGGACTCCTAAATGGAGATGGGCCACATGCCCCATGGCCAACTAATAGCAAGTGACTCTTCACTTATCTGATTAATGTCCCCAAGGGTGTTTAAAGTCAGTCTCTTATCTGACTCTGATTCTACATTAAGTGGTACAGGCACCCAAATGGGAGAAGCTGACCAGCAACCCTGGGATCCCAAGATACACCCACGGTGGGTGTATGCACCCAGGAGAACTCAGAGCTGGCCCCAGCACTAGGGCAGAGGAGTTGCCTGCTCAGGTGCAACAGGTCCAGCCAGCAGGTAGTACTCGTTTCCTGCGTGTAATCTGAGGTCAAGTTTGGGCATACCTCAGCCAGGTGTGCGCAGGTGTGTACAGAAGGGAGATGGGAGATGTGTGGGCATCTTGGCCCCATAGCAAAACCTTCAGGTCAAATTTAAACAATAACCAATCCCCTAAGCTAACCCTCCCTCTCCCCCACTCCTATGGAAAGAGGATAGGCTGAGGTGAAGGCTTTCTGCGGCAGGAATCCATGGCTGGAAAAAGACCACTCACCTGAAGGCCTATGTGTCTGGCAATAAGGCCAACCTGCTCCCCAAAATCCACATCCTTACCCAAACAGGTCACATCCCCGAAGGCTGCCTTCTGTAGGGCACTGGGTGGCCCCCAGTCTTCCCTCGTGGGATCCAGGGCCTTTCTCCAAATGTCACCCCTGTCTGGAATAAGCCGTGTCCACAGGGAGAAGTCAAAGGGGCATGGCAGAAGTCAAATGGAAACCAGCAAACAGAGGGGGTGCAAGGCAGAGAGAGCAGGGGAGGAGACGAGAAGAAAGGAAGAATTAGCATCCAGTTTTGGCCAAGAGAGACCTGCAGCCATGAGGATGCCCCTTGCTCGGGGCTGGGAGGCCTGGTGAGTATGCTGCCTCCCAAGCTCACCCACCATGGGTTGAAGTCTCTCCTCTCTCTCCCTAGCCAGTCAGCAGGGACACAACATCATTCCAGAGAACAGGACAGAGTGACAATTAGCACCCAAGGCCCCAGAGGAACAGAGCTGGGAGGCGCGTGGCCAGGCACTCGTCCCACCCAAACCTACTCTCCGTATCACTGGGTCTCTTTGGAGGCTCATCTGGGGTCAGCCTTTTCTGTCTGCAGGGCCTAAAGCCAAGCTGAGAGATGAGATGACCAGAAACCAAGCAAAACCCCTCTCCTGACTGAATGTCCACACAGCTCCAAGAGTCCCACGCTAAACAGAGGGACAGCTCACAGGCACAGGAACACTGCTGGGCATGCTGCACAGTGAGCCGGGCTTTGTCAAGGACTTCCATTAAGAAACTTGGTACGCTGGGCGCCTGGGTGGCTCAGATGGTTAAGCGTCTGCCTTCGGCTCAGGTCATGGTCCCAGGGTCCTGGGATCGAGCCCCGCATCAGGCTCCCTGCTCAGCGGGGAGCCTGCTTCTCCCTCTGCTTCTCTCTCTCTCTCTCTCTGTCTCTCCTGAATAAATAAATAAAATCTTAAAAAAAAAAAAAAAGAAACTTGGTACACTTTCCTCCAAAGGGCCCAGGACACACACACACACACACACACACACACACACAAATCACACTTGAGAATTCATCAAGGCTTTTAAAACCATGTATTTGAGAAGTTCACTTGGGATAATAAATTATTTGCTGATAAAAATCATTTGGGGAATTAATATAATGAAATGGAAAAATTCAGGCCATTGCAACTTCAACATGAAGAAAGGGAGTCATGAGGAAGCCCTCTCCCCGACCGAGTCCTGTGTGCCTGGAGCTCCCAAGCCCCCGCCACCAGCACCACCACCACTACTTGGGGCCTCTCTTCTCCTTGAAAACCTCCCGATAGCAGCCGACTATGTTGTTTATGCCCCGGCAGACTCGGAGGCTGCGCTCCAGGTTGGGGTCATTGTCACTGAAGATCTGCAGGCCAGCATCACAGTGTGCCAAAGCCATGGCCCGGTGTCTGGAGGTGAGCTGGGCAAGCCGTCCTCTCCCTCCTCTCCAGCTGCATGCCCCTGCTCCAGTCCCATCAGCTCCTCAATGGAGAGGCCCGCCCGTGGCTCTGCAGAAGCTCCACCACATCTGCCTTGGTCACCTCTCTAAAACCCACACCATGGGCCAGTGCCAGGATGTCCTGCAGGATCTGCGGTAGAGTTGCTACGTGCAGCCTGTTGGCATCCTGCTGGATGCCCTCGAGCCACAGCTTCCTCCACCCCCCATTCAGGGTAGCTGGCGGGACCTCCTCCCAGGACTCAGAGATGTTGTAGGCAGCATCAAGAACGCTGTAGTCTCGCCAGAAGTCAAGGACCACCGACTGCTGGTCCCTGCCTCCCACCCTCAACGCCAACAGGCGGAAGACCGTCCGTGGGTAGCAGGCCTTGAAGGTGGCAACAATGTCCTGGTTCATGGGCTGGACAAGGGCCATGGTTTTCTTGGGCAGGTACAGCACACGCACGTGGTCCGAGAGGTCATCCAGGTTCCCAGGGTGGCCAGGGGCACTGTCCAGGATGAGCAGGGCTTTGTACGGGAGGCCGTACCAGGCACAGTCCCTCTCCGCAGCTGGGCAGAAGTGCACAAACCACTCCTGGAGGATGCTCGTGGTCACCCAGGCTTTCTTGTGTGAACGCCACACCACAGGCAGGTTGGGTCTGGAGCAGCCCTTGAGAGCACGCGGGTTCTCCAAGGGATACAGCAGCAGCGGCTTCAGCTTGAGGTCTCCAGCTGCACTGCCACCAAGCCGCAGCGTCAGGAGATCTCGGGCAGCTCTGCACCCCAGGGCTGACTTCTCCTCCAGGGAAAGGAGCATCCTGGCAGGCAGTCGCTTCCAGAAAAGTCCAGTCCCATCCACGTTGAACACCAGCTGGGGTGTGTAGCCGCCCTCCTGGATCACTCTCCGCAGAAGGGCAGGGTACCTGTGCATGGCTGCCGCAGTTGTGCCCGTAACCTCGACACCCACCCCAAGACCAGGCAGGCTGTGTCGGGCCTTGAACCGTGTAAACCACCCTCAACTAGCCCCGAAGGTCTCCGATTGGGCACCCTCACCCTGCTCCCGCTTGAGGTCCTCAAACAGGCTGCGAGCCTTCTCCTGGATGAGGAGGACACTGATGGGCACATTGCGCTGGTTCTGGTCCTCGATCCACACGCTTAGCAGCCGCTCCATGTTCTCCATCACCAGGCTGCAGCTGCGCGTCAATCTGGTGGCCGCCTGGGAACTCGCTCGGATCTTCTCCTTGTTGTCACAAATGGTAGCCACAGTGGAGGTGGACAGCCCCAACACCTTCCCAATTCTGCTAAGCTTCTCTCCGGCTTCGAAGCGCCGCAACATCTCAAGCTTCACCTGCAGGTTGATAGCCTTGCGGACCCCCTCGGTGCTTTGGCGCTGGCTTACCCTGGGCGGCCTCTTCAGAGGGATCTTCTGGCCAGAAACGGAGGGGGAGGCTCTATCTGCATCCCTCTGTCCAGACACAGCTAAAGAATATGTGTTTTCCCGCCCTGTGCCTGCTGATTTCAATGCCGCTGCTGCCCTGGCCCTGACCTGCTGTAAAATGGGGAGAAAACGTTTACTGGTGGGAATGTAGACAGGCTTGGATAAACCTGTTAAAGACCATTAATAAATCTCCCTCATTTGGCCACAGAGCTCACTTCCCACTGGATGAATTCTGGCCCCATGGACTAAATTAACTTCAGCCTCAGTAATGCGGCAAACCTCTGAAATACACAACAAGCTGATGTCAGACCAAAGGCAGAAATCAGAAATTAACAGGTTGTGTGTGGGGGTGGCGGGGTGTGCCTCAAAACATTGTGGCTGGGTACAGGAATTTATAACAACTGTTCATAAAACTGAACTCTGAGCTTTCAGGCCACCAAGGAGGAAAACAAGAAGCTGTCCAGTTACAAGAAATGCATTTTCATGGCTCTGAGCTTGCAGAGACCCTGAACAATGTAATTAAGGATATCAAAACTCACAGTTTTTGCTTTGTGTTGTTTTGTTTGTTTTGCTAGAGGTAAGAGCTGACCTTTGAACAACACAGAGTTAGGGGACCCCCCCGCCAAGCAGTTGAAGACCCACTTATAACTTTTGACTATTAATAACTTACTGTTGACTGGAAGCTTTGCCGATAACATAAGCAGTCAATTAACACATACTTTGTATGTTATATGTATTATACACTGTATTTTTAAAATAAAGCTAGGAAAAAAAGAAAATGTTATTAAAAGCACAAAGAAAATACATTACAGGGGTGCCTGGGTGGCTCAGTCCGTTAAGCGTCTGCCTTCGGCTCAGGTCATGATCCCGGGGTCCTGGGATCGAGCCCCGCATCGGGCTCCCTGCTTGGCAGGAAGCCTGCTTCTCCCTCTGCCCCTCAGCCCGCTTGTTCTCTCTCTCACTCTCTCTCTCTCAAATATATAAATAAAATCTTTAAAAAAAAAAAAAGAAAGAAAAAAGAAAGAAAAGAAAATACATTACTGTATTATATTTATAAAAAAAAAAAAAATCCAGGGCGCCTGGGTGGCTCAGTCGTTAAGCGTCTGCCTTCGGCTCGGGTCATGATCCCAGGGTCCTGGGATCGAGCCCCGCATCGGGCTCCCTGCT